CACATAACCTATGAAGTCTCCTCAGACAATACTAGTAAGAAATAATCCCTACTTCCTGTGCACACAATAGTTTATCTTTCTTAAAATACCTTCTATAGTTTACCCTTGTCCTAAAATTATGTGTCTTATGTCTTATTCTTCTTGGTATGTGCCACAGTACCCTAGTACAATGCCTGGCATACAGTATCTACAAAATAAAGATCTGTCAAACTGATAAAATGACACTACAAATAATTACAGGTATATACAGCATTCAGAAAGCATGCTAGTTTTCTAAAGAACCTTCTCATTCATGTATATATCCCTAGCTCAGGCCATTACCATTGCAATAACATCTGTATCTACTCAGCATCTTCCTCTTGCAATGGGTTATTCTGTGAAGAGTACATACCTTAACTGTTTTGATTCACTTCTCAACACTATGGGCTTTCAAATCAAAGTAAAAGTCCTGATCTCATACCTTTAGGTTATCTACCCAAATCTGTCTACTCTTTATATAAATATCCACATTCTAGCCTAAGTTCTTCACAATAATTTAAAGGGTCTTCAATTATGCCCACCTGTACTTTTTACTTACTAGTCAATCATGCTGTGTCTCCAAGTGGAACATCCTTTAGCATTTTCTACACAAAAACAGCTCCACTTTCGCACCAAAATTATTAGTCTCAAAGTCTCATTCCTCTTCCTTAGAGGCCTTCCCAGGCAGCATTATATATTTTGAGTCACTTCAGTTGGTCTACCAAATTCATTACTTAATATTTGCTCTGTCATTTATAATCACATTTATGTTACTCAACTATGTATGTTTGAATTAATGTAGGGAATTCTGCTTTAAATCAAGGATGATGAGCTCACAACATAAAACGCATCTGTAAAAAGAATTCTGATCCAGTGTTGTAGTCTTCAGCATAGCAAATACTAGTGGAAGGATAATGTAGTTGTAGACAGCACAGATTGTGAAGGCAAGACTATCTGAGTTCAAATTCTGGCTTTGGTATTTTTTAGTACCTTGGATAACTCACTTAACATCCATGTTCATCAGCTTCATCAGAGTTATTTTAAAAATTACATGAGTTAATACATATAAAATCCTTTAAAAAGCATTTGGCACATAAATTCAGCATAATCTTCTATTGTTTTGACTTTTAGCCTCTCACTTATAGCTGAAAATGCTAAAGTGCAAAAAATTTAATAACTTGCCAAAAGTCACAGGAACTAGTAAGTTGTAAAGTCAGAAAAGAAACATGAGATTCCTACTAGAGGAGTCTGTCTCACCATTTTATTCAATATCTTTTCAATAAATTGAAATTTTATTCAATTTGTTTAAGGTCTTTGGTACCATTATATGATTAAAAAATGATAAGAAGAAATAAATTTTTAAAAGGAAAAGGAGATTTATAAACTAACTCATGGATTAAGAAAAGAAGCAAGAAATATAATAATAATAGAAGAGAGAGCACAGGCTTATGCTCATGTAAATGGAGGGGACAGGTAAGTATTCCAGAGAACTGGGTTAAGCATATTATGATGGAGCCAGCCTGGCCAACATGGTGAAACCTCATCTCTACTAAAAATACAAAAATTCGTTGGGCATGGTGGTGCACGCCTGTAATCTCAGCTACTCAGAAGGGCTGAGGCAGGAGAATCACTTGAACCCAGGAGGCGGAGGCTGCAGTGAGCCAAGATTGCGCCACTGCACTCCAGCTTGGGTGACAGAGTGAGACTCTGCCTCAAAAGAAAAAATAAATCAATAAATAAAATAATAAAGAAAAAATATTATTAGGAATGGAGGTAACTGTCAGCTTTATTTTCCCTTTAAGACATAATGATGTCCTTGCTTGCATTAAAATCACTTATCTTTAGCAGTTCAGAAAGTCTTTTTTCAGCCAGGTGCAGTGGCTCACATCTATAATCGCAGCACTTTGGGAGGCTGAAGTGGGTGGACTGTTTGAGCCCAGGAAATTGAGACCAGCCTGGGCAACAGGGCAAGACCCCATCTCTACAAAAAAATTTAAAAGTAGCTGGGCGTGGTGGTAGTCCCAGCTACTCAGGAGGCTGCGGTAGGAGGGTCAACCTGGGCCCAGGAAGTGGAGGCAGCAGTGAGCCAGCCATGATGGTACCACTGCACTCTACCCTGGGTGACGGAGTGAAACCCAGTCTCCAAAAGAGCAAAAAAAAAAAAAAAAAAAGGAAAGAAAGCCTTCTTTCTCTGTTCCATCAAAAGCTCATCACTTCAAAATTAAAAATGTGTGAAATAGTTTTATTTTTTCACATAGAATTTCAGTGTTTACATATGGACAAAGAAATCACAAATTTCAGAAATTTAGTAAGGAACTTAGAGGGGCATCAATGTATTTACCATCTACATTTAACTTTTATCCTTTAAATGTCTGAAGGTCATGTTCAGGACCATCACTATTTGCCCTAGGCATTTCCTTAGATAAAAACCCAATGGTTACTTAAAATATACACTCTGTCCTAACAAAAATACTATATATTATATAACCTCTCACCTCCCATTCTAAAAAAAACTCTAAAGGAAAAATACAGGTAATTCAGTTTATCAGGGCAGGAAATTATGTTTCGTAAGAACACTATATTTTAGATATTTGTTGAACAATATCTGTCCCCCTAATTATATGCCCTTTGCTTATAGCCAACCTCTTTGTATGCTCCTACGGGGGCAACCAATACCCAGCTTAGGCCAAAATGAATATCAGCATTAGTAATCGAAAGACCCTTGTATGGTTATGAATATTTTGTGAAAATATACCACAAAAGTAAATTTCTGAATATTTTACATTTTAAAGTGATGATCAAAAAACAGTAGAAAATGAATACAGAAAATATATGTCTGAAATGTACATTCAATAACACATGCTTTTGTAACCTGAATCTGTATTTCTTTAGGCCTCCACTATAAAACTGCATATAGTCTCAGAAAAAAAAGGAAGACTCTCAAAAATAGAGAGGGATTACTTTAAGAAAATAAAACAAGGTAAAGAGAATAAGAGGCAAGCTTAATATCCAAAAGAAATGCACAGTTGTTAACCCAATTCCAACTTCCAAAAATAACTGAAATTCCAGGAACTCCAGAAGAAAAAAGCAAATAGAGAAGACCACACTTCTTCAGCTCTTCAAACAATCTTTTCCAAATTGTTTAACAATGCTATGTGTTTTTTAAAATGTGGATTTTTCTCCCCTTCCTTCAAATTCTGGCAACAGCTGCTAAATGTTTTATACTCCACATATTCATATAATTTCCATAAATTAAGCCTACTTTAAAAGGCAAAGGCTAGGTATAAGCTGAGAGGAGTGCTTTCAAAAAAAAAAAAAAAAAAAGGCAAAGGCAGGAGAGCAGAAACTGATGTTCATTCCTTCTCAAATGATAACATACTGAGCTTATCAACATCTCGTAAAATTGTCTAGCTCTGGCCGGGCACGGTGGGTCACGCTTGTAGTCCCAGCACTTTGAGAGGCCAAGGTGGGTGGATCACCTGAGGTCAGGAGTTCGAAACCAGCCTGGCCAACAGGCAAAACCCTGTCTCTACTAAAAATATAAAAAAGCCAGGCACGGTCGGTGCCTGTAATCCCAGCTACTTGGGAGGCTGAGTCCGGAGAATGGCTTGAACACAGGAGGTGGGGGTTGCAGAGAGTTGAGATCGCGTCACTGCACTCCAGCCTGGGCGACAGAGCGAGACTCCATCTCAAAAAAAAAAAAAAAAAAAAAAAAAATTGTCTAGTTCTGTTACCAGAAGACCATGTCACCAATACTAAACTTTAACTTCTTAAACTCTGGTTTGTGTAAAGTCAAAAGTTGTTCTGGCCAAATAATTCATTTTATATATCCCGACAACTGGCTTACTGAATTCCCTCTGCTGAATCCAATAAATTCTCCTCACTAAATCTCACTGCTGTTATACCTCATGGACTCATGTGATCCCAATCTAATCACAGTTTGAGATCTTTATCTTTGAGGCTCAAAAGTTTTAACCCTTTACCAGGAATGGGCATACAACAAATTTATTTGACCAAGCATTTACTCAAGTTTCTTTCATCTTATCCTATTCTCTTTGCCCTGATTCGTGCTGCAAACATTTACTAGTATCTATTATAAGCTGTGAAAAATGGTAACACAGAAGATACAAATGTAAGGTATTTTCTCTGCCCTTAAGGGGCGCATATTCCAGTAGAGGAGACAAATACAAAAACAAATAATTTCTACAAAGTGTGAGAAATTCTATAAAAGAGTTTTATAAAAATTCTAGAACACAAATGGAAGAGAGTAAGGGAAGCTTCACAAAGCAGTTAACATTTGAAATGGGTCTTGAAGAACAGTAAGGTAGGATGGATATGTGTTTGTATGTATTAGCTGAGATGCTAGAAATGTAGAAAGGATGAGGAAAGCTGATGGCAGTCAAAGTGCTGACTAAAAATATGTTAAAATAGACAACTTAGGATATTAACTATAGTTCCTTTTTTGTTTCACTCTTGCAAACTAATTTTAACCATTAATTCACAAGTAAGAATTATCTTACAAGCAATACACACACACACAACTTAGAAATGTTGTGTACAAAGTGACTATTAAATGGAAAGAACCAGGAAAAGGTATTTTGAGGACAATGGGGAAAATTCAATGCAACCAAACTGATCCTCCATAATAGAAGGGAATAGCTGTGTTACATAAAACTATTCCTAAATGTTGTAGATGCAGAGAAAAGAATACCAAACTAAAACTCAAGAAAGCTGGATTCAAGTCTCAAACAACAGCTGCGCCCTAATTATGACAAAACCTTTTGCTTAAGTCCTAAACTGCCCCTCAGAGTTAAGATCAAATAAAATGAGTCTGAAAAGTGTTCTGAAAAATGTAAAATGCTACACAAATAAAATCTTACTTTCATTATAGTTACATGCGCTACATTGGAAAAGAACTTTCAAAATCTGTATTTCAGACATATTCAATGCATTATACTAAATTTATGACAAAGAGCCTTTACCCGTTCTACAGATCGTGCCCTCTTCTTTGGCCGAGTAGGCAGCGCATCTTCCTTCGGATTGGTGTCTATTGCCCAATAGGACCCCTAGAGGTAAAGAAATTATATTAACAGTATAGTACAGCAACCCTATGATATTAAAATGGATTTTTATAATCCTTTGCATCAAAAGCAAACATTCTGCAAATACAGTGGAAAAACAGCATAAGAAACACTTGTTTTGAACTGAGAAAAAGATTATATAAGAAAATATATCCACATATAATTACATTATTAAAAGAAAACATTCATAAGCTGAAGAATCCAAATCTAAGAACTTCTGCCACACCAAAATTTAGAAAGAAAATGATCAACAAAACACATTTTTAATATACAGTGATTCTCAACTGAACAGATGTTAATTATATGACATTAAAAGAATTTAACGTATAAAGATACTGTAGTTTCTATATCCTGGGACCTCACAAATCTACATGGTTAGTGAAACATTTTTAAAGACAAACTGCTTGAAAACATTTTATATAGTAAGTGTTCCTAAGAAGCAAAGATATGTGCATAAATTTTTTACTGCTTACTCTGTCATGACTTAACTATTCCCTCTTACTTTTTGATACAAGTTATCACAGCATTCATTTGAAAATATGTATGGAGCACCTACTGTGTTTCAGGCACTCAGAAACTGTAACTCTCCAAAAAAAACAAAAAACAAAAAACAAAACAAAAACTTTGGAAAAGCATAGATCCATAGATACAGTTTGCAAACATTATACAAACAAGAATAGCAAAACACAGAAAGATAAAGTGGCTTTCCCATTCAAAGTTGTGAGAACCAGGAACAAAGACAAACAGAAACAAAGTTGGATTTTTAGCTCTTTTTCCTTCAATTATCCTGCCTCTATACACACAATTGGGGGAGGAAAGCATGAAAGAAGGGAGTTCAAGAAAGGGAAAGAGGGAAAGGAGGAAGATATGCATTTCAGAAACAGAAACACAATGTACATCCTAGTTTTACAATTAATCCCAGTGATCATATCCAAATTTAGTCTTCATCTCTACTACCTCATTAATCTTCCTAGGCTGTTTTTTAAGGCAACATTTGACAATGACGGGAAATACAACTCTCACCTATCAATCCTCACACTTTATGCCCAACATGAATCATCTCCTTATACTTTCTTGAACATACCATGTTGTTTATCTGTCCTGTCCTACATGCTGACCTCACTACTTTAATGCCCACCATACCAATGACAAACTCATATTCCACCTTCAAATTTTACCTCATATTATCCAAAGGAATCCTCCTTTGATCTTCCTGCCATACCCAAGAATTCATCACTCTCTCCCTCTGCAAGATCTCTATACTTTTTACACATTTAGACCATTGTTTGCAATTAACATTCAATTCTGTTTACAGGTCTGTATCCCCTTCTAGGCTATATATATGTATTCCTTAAGGGTAGGGACTATTTTACTTGTTTCTATATCCACAGTGCCAGGCACAATGTCAGACACAAAGCAAGTACTCAATTAACATCTGTTGAAATAAGAAGGGGAAAAAAGCTGTTTAACAAACTGCACCAAGAATATCAGTGTACTGGGTGTTACTATGTACATGCCAGTGTACACTGTTGGTGTACAAGGTAGGTGTCTATGTCTCGGATCCTGGTCGATGGAGGTACCGGAGCTTAACACTCATTTCATCACCCAGCCACTGCTGGGGTATTTCTATGTTATCTTTTCAAAAGAGTCACTACATTTCAGCTAAGAGTCTACCAGACCTGGTAAGAATCTGCTAGGTAGGACCTATGAACTTGCCAAGAACCCTGTAAAATGCAGATGCTACAAAAAGCACTAAAAATGGGAAAACAATGATTTTGGGAAAACAATGATTTAGGTTTGGCTAGCAAGTTTCAAAATAAATGCAATGGGGAAAAATTTTACACTGAGTTCTTATAAAAATTAAAAATAAAGTAGGAGAGAAAATACCAAAATTCATTGGACAACAGTTTAAAAACCACTTTTCATAGAAATGATAAACTCCAGCGTTTACTTTTGTTTTGGATGGGTGTGTATATGTGTATTAATCTGGGGAAACCATTCAATGTCCAAACTACACTGATTTTTTAGTAAACGTTTCAATAAAATTACAAAAACAAATAGATATCTCTTCTTCCACACAAAATACGAATGGTTGTGGCTTGTCACAAATAAATCAACAAAAGGGAAAAAACTTGCCCATAGCCTATTACTATCCACTAGGTATTCATAAAATCCTGAACGCCTAAATGCAAATTCTAATAATTAAAGATTCACAAAAGTAATTGTGAAATCTTCCACCAAATAGTTCAGGCTAACAAAGTATTTGAGCCTGACCTCTGAAATCACAGGTTTGAATAAAGAGACCTTAAAATTCCTCTTCACATAGCAAAACCATAGTGAGATAACACTTTATACCCACTAGGATGTCTATGATGAAAAAAAAAACAGAAAATAGCAAGTACAGGCTAAGTATCCCTTATCCAAATATCCAAAATGCTTGAAATCTGAAATCTTTTGGATTTCAGATTTTTTCAGATTTTGGAATACCTGCATATAACTAACGAGATATCTTGGGGATGGGACTCAAGTCTAAAGCTCAAAATTGATTTATGTTTCATATAAACTCTTATACACATAGTTTGAAGGTAATTTTTTGTAATCATTTTAATAATTTTGTGCATGAAAACAAAATTTTAACTGTAATCCATCATATGAGGTGAGGCATGGAATTTTCCACTAGTGGCATCATGTTGGTGCTCAGTAAGTATTAGATTTTATAGCATTTGTATTTCAAATTTTCAGATTAAGAATGCTCAACCTGTATTGGCAAGCACGTAGAGAAACTGAAACTCTTATGCACTGCTGACAGAAATGTGTAAAGGTGTAACCACTGTAGAAAATATGGCAATTCCTTAAAAAATTACATGGAATTACCAAATGATCCAGCAATTCCACTTCTGGATATGTATCCAAAAGATACGAAAGTAGAAAGTCAAGTATTTACACACCCATGTTCATAGTAATATTACTCACAACAGCCAAAAGGTAAAGCAGCCCAAGTGTGCATTGAAGGATAAATGGATAAACAAATACACCACATACATCCAATAGAGTATTATTCAGCCTTAAAAAGGAGGGATATTCTAGCCGGGGGCGGTGGCTCACACCTGTAATCCCAACACTTTGGGAGGCCGAGGAGACAGATTACGAGGTCAGGAGATCGAGACCATCCTGGCTAACACAGTGAAACTCCGTCTCTACTTAAAAAAAAAAAAAAAAAAAAATTAGCCAGGCATGGTGGCAGGCACCTGTAGTCCCAGCTACTCGGGAGGCTGAGGCAGGAGAATGGCAAGAACCCAGAAGGCGGAGCTTGCAGTGAGCCCAGATCACACCACTGCACTCCAGCCAGGGCAACAGAGTGAGACTGTCTCCAAAAAAACAAAAGAGATACTCTGACATATAAGCCAGTCACAGAAGGACAAATATTGTATGATTCCACTTATAAGTAGTAAAATTCCTAGAGACAAAGAGTAGAATGATGGTTGGTAGGGGATGAGGGAAAAGGAATATAGGCACTTATTGTTTAATGAGTAAAGAATTTGCCGGGCGCAGTGGCTCACGCCTGTAATCCCAGCACTTTGGGAGGTCGAGACGGGAGGATCACAAGGTCAGGAGATCGACACCATCCTAGCTAACACAGTGAAACCCTGTCTCTACTAAAAATACAAAAAATTAGCTGGGCATGGTGGTGGGTGCCTATAGTCCCAGCTACCCGGGAGGCTGAGGCAGGAGAATGGTGTGAACCCGGGAGGCGGAGCTTCCAGTGAGCCGACATCGCGCCACTGCACTCCAGCCCTGGGCGAGCAGACGAGACTCCGTCTCAAAAAAAAAAAAAAAAATTTAAGTGGGAAGATGAAAAGCTTCTCGAGATGGATGGTAGTGATGACTGCACAACAATGTGAATGAGACTTATATACTGCTAATACCCTAATATGAACTGTATACCTAAAATGATTCAAATGTAAGAATTATGTTATGTATATTTTCGCAGCCAAAAAAGTCCTCTCAGCCCTTTTCTTTTTCTTTTTTTCTAAAACCACAGTGCACGATCATGGCATAATGCAGCCTTGACCTCCCAAGTTCAGAGTGATCCCAAGCCTTCACAGTAGCTGGAGACCACAGGTACACGTCCACCTCCACGCCTGGTTTTTTGTTTGTTTGTTTGAGACAGAGTTCCTCATCCTCTGTTGGCCAGGCTGGTTTGCAGTGGCGCAAATCTCGCAGCTCAACTGCAACCTCCCGCCTCCTGGGGTCAGGCAAGTGCCTCCTGCCTTAGCCTCGCCAGGTAGCTGGGATCATAGAGGCGCCCACTGTCCGGGCGCCCGATAATTTTTGCTATTTTTCAGTTGAGACGGGGTTTCACCACGTCTGGCCAGGGCGCTGATTTCAAACGCCTGACTCAGGGTGATCTGGCTCCCAAGTGCTGGGATTACAGGTGTGAGCACTGCACCCTGGCCTCGTTTTCTGATTTTTTGTAGAAATGGGTCTTGTCCATGTTGCCGCGGTTAGTCTCAAACTCTTGGCTCAAGTGATCCTCCTGCCTTGGGCACCCAAAATGGCTGGGGTTACGGTGAGCCCACCAACCGGGCCATCTAAGAAGCGTTACCTTGCTCTTCTTGTTAGACATATAGGAAATCTCACAAAAACTGAACCTGACATTTTAGATAGCCAATCAAAAACCACAGGGCCAGTTCAATTTCGCTCCCAGAGTAGGGTCTATACCACTAGGCTCAGTGGAGCCAAGTAGGAAACAGAGGTTTTGTTTAAGTGGGTTTTTTTGTTTTTTTGGCAGGGAAAAGGGTGTTGAGGCAAGGTCTTGTTCTGGTGCCAACAATGGACACAGTGGCACGCAATCATGAGATCACTGCAACTTCACACTCCTGGGCTTAATCAACACTCTTCCTCAGTCTCCTGAGTAGGTAGGACTATAAGTGCCTGCCACCAGGCCCCAGCTAACATTTTTCTTTATCTTTTTGTAGAGACAG